CCGAGACGGTGTGCAGCATGTGTGCTTGCGCTTCGTGATTGCGCCTTGGATCTGAGTTGCGAGATTCAGGAAGGCATTTCAACCCCCAAGAGACTTCGGATGTCTCGAGCCGAATTCTGTGGTCAAGCGGCTTTTCATATGAAGTCTGAAAGTGGGCATGGCGACAACACGGAAAGTACAGCCTGAAGAAGGTCACCTGCAGTGAATAGGTTGAACACCTGCCCCCCTATCTGTTGCATCTTCTGTGACCCACAACTTGCAATGGCCCCCGGGCCTCATGCTCTGCTCTTTGGCGCAGTTCCTGCCGTGTGAACTCCTCCAGTGACCTGATGCCAATGTTGCTCGCAGCTATTAAAATCTCTTCCACAACGTGGCAATCAACGCAACACAACATGATGTCGAAACGCTTCATGGCCGAACCTCTACACCAACTCTTGCTCCGTGCCGTTTCTTGGCACGAGACCCCACACATTATGCTCTATGGGTTCTCGCTGCGACATGGCATGGTTAGCTGCATCGGCTTCACAATCGGGTCGCGGCATACTCTGGCCGATGGTAGTCCGAAAAGTCTACCAGCTGCGACGCCGCCGCGCTCCGATGCCCAAAAACGCACGAACGACTGTTCCTATACGGTCCTATCATGCTTTGTCGCGACGGTTAAATTGATGCCTGTTTTGGACGGGACTCACGGGACTTCGAAACGACAGCTCGTTGCAGCGCAGGTGCTGCCGTTGGCTTCGATGCTCGTCCCGCTGTCGTTGGATCCGCGACTCAACTGCCTGCACGCAGTTTCGGGCCATGCAGGGAATAGCATCACTGACATGCCCTGATCACAGTTCGGACGCTGCAGTGCGGGATTTGGCCTCGAGTTCCTCTTCGCCTTAGAAGTGACCATGAGCTGTCACTCCAAACCTGAACCTGCCTTTGCCACGAAATCTGTCAACCTGGAACTCGCGTGCCAAGTTCGTGAACAGCGCCTCACTGATGACCGTAATGCCGTATATGTCAAAAGCGATGCAGAAACCGCCCAGCGTTGCTACAATGCACGGAAGAGCAGAGGAATCTGGGAATGCGGCGCTCGATCCGCCGCTCCTGGCGAAGCACCATGGCAGACGCAGAGACAAACTCGTCCCAGTGGGGACACAAAAAAAGGAGACGGGCGGCATCTGGCGGCGTCCGGCCTCGCGCTGCGTTCGCACCGCGTTCGCCGCCGTCTTCACCTGCAAACCGGAGGTTTTGAAGATGGCTGCGCAGCGGCGCAGACGGTAGCAGTCGCCAGCCATGAAGCCCTCAACAAAAACCGTCGGAGCATCGCTCGCAGCTCCTTCGTTTCCGAAACCAAGAACCCACGCATGAATGTGACCATACACACAAAGGAATCATGTTCCAAAGGCTCTTGCGGGCCATTTACATCAACAGGTTTGAATCAAACCTGTTGAATTGAAAATGCCGCACTTATACAAGTCGTGTCCTCGCCCGTGTCATCTGTGCAAGCAAGACTGTGACATAACCCAAGGACTAACGACTGATTTCGGATGCAGGCACAAAGCGCATGGCACCCATCAGATTGGCTGCCTCAGCCCTCAAGCGGGCACCTCGCGCTGCATGTCGAAGAAGCCAATGGCTGCATCGTCGCATGGCGCACAGGCTTGTGTGCCACCGCTAAGTTGTTGCACTACATCTCAGAAACGCTTTTGGGCGCACCGGGGAGACCTATGCTTACTTGTATCGCTTGTTGGCTCTCAAATTTAAAAACGGCTAGTCTGAAGCTCAGATCGGAAGCATGCTGTGGCTGTAGCTGTTGTTGGCTCATGACTTCTTCCAGTTTTTTGCTTTTTCTTTTGACGGTGACTTCTATCTCCATGCTGCTCGCGAGGGTTGCGAAGAGCTGGTGCAGTCATGACATCTTTTCCAGTTTTTCCGCCTGCAATCGCACACTCGAGACTTAGTGTTGCCGCCATTCGTTTCGAGGTTCCGGGATCAACGTGCTCAGCAGTCACTGCAAAAGCACCTACACCTTCCCAGACATCAGATGTCTCCATTCTACCACTAGAACGAGTCAGAGCTTGGCCTACGAAGATCTGGAGACAGACATCATTACAAGACTTTTAGTTGAGCCGTCGATGCAGGCATGAACTACATGTTCTTGCCAGCAATGTTGTCAAACCTCCACGGACGTGTGTAACAACAAGTGCCGTTTCTGAACAGCTGTTCTTTTACGAACAGTGTTTCCAACCCGTCGATGAGTGAGACTGAGACATACTGAGACACATAAGGAAAGGATCAGCTGTTTATCTGCAAATTCCTGGTCTGAGCGTAGCGGTCAAAGAGAACCTACTTTCATGAAAACGAAAACGTGGCCCGGTGCGAATCTCAGGAACAGCTGCGAGCTTTGAACTCGGTCGTAGATATTTAACTGACCACCCGTGCCTACACAAATCCTGTCAGATCACGGTCCAATCAAATCAACAAGACTATAACCCTTGCGACGCTGCTGCGGCGGGGTTTTTTGTTCTCATCGGATTTTCGCTATGCCTCATTGTGAAGGATAGGCAAAGGATGTGTCAAGCAAAACAGCCGAAGGTAATGATATGTCTGCCCAAAATCTAGCGTTCGAAATTCTCATCACCTTGCCTCGGGGGCATCTTGCCGCGATGTGCTACTTGCATGTGCAGCGAAACTACATCTCGGCTGCCACGAAAATTTCTGAAGCGGGTACACACTTATAGACTTATAGCACCCAAACAGTGAGGTGTCCGAATGGGCCCTTTCCGAGCACCGGAAAAATCGGCCACTGGTCGCACGCAGGCCTAGGACTAGGAGCCTTGCCCTGGCTTTAGGGACGGCTCCCTCCCAAGGACCACGCGAGCCTCACTTCTTGTAGGCGCTCTTGTATGCCAAGGGGACGCCGTAGTTGCTAAGCCTACATGCAGGCAATGCAGGCAAAGCCGCATGTTCGCTCATCAAGGGCTTGCCATGGCTTGACACTTGCGACACCAAGGACTCGTGGTCAAGCACATATGTAAACAGTAATTCCAGCGGCACGTCAACCGAAGACTTGCATGCGCAGGTCCAGCTTAGCTTGCATAGCATTTCTCCGAACTCCCTATGACCACCTGGAAGAAACACACCCTGTCACGCCCGAGAGAGACAATCCTGCGAAAGAAGCTGGGGTTCAAGCTTCAGCTCAACATCATCAGCCAAGACCGCCTGGATCAGGACCCTGCTTGGCTGACATCCGGTGATGTGTGGCCGACTAATTAACTAACCATGGTTCGGGATGCCTTCTACACTTTGTAAGCATAGTCGAGGATAACGAGGTGCGTTCAATGCATTGAAGCATGCCTGCATTCACCCCTGGAGAACTAAGGCATACTGAGGTCATAGCATTGTGGTGAATTTCGCCGATGTCATCCAAATCTTCAAGCCTCTGCCGCAGTCAAACTCTGCATGCCAGGGCAGTCGGCAGATGTGGCCACTTCCATCATGCAGCTGCCAAGTGCACGCAATGACCTAAGGCTCTGGCATGTGAAGCAGCTTCCTGGTCTGGCTTTTGGAGCGCTCTCTTTGGTGGGCGTGGTATGCGTGTGGGTAAGGCTTGCAGGATGCCAAAATCGCACCATTCAAGACGTAATGCAGCCATGGGCACAGCAGTTCGTAGCTTTGCTCGTGATTCAAAGTCGCCTTGTCGCACAGGCTCTCGATCACACTCCATGAGCCATGAGCTTCTCCGCTGCCTCCACTTGCACCCTCAAAACTTGCTCGGACTTGCTTGGCTCCATTCCTGCCAAGAATTACATTCCAACAACTAACCATGTTACAGAAGTGCTGCAGAGATGGTTGCAGCGCCCGAAGAACTCCAATGTGCCAGGTAGAGTATTAACGCACCGCGCCGAAGCGGCTTTTGACAAGGAAAGTGAATTTCTATGGCTCAACAATGGCAAGTGGTTCCTGCCTGCACCTTCGAAGGCAGATACTGCAGCATGGAAGTTCTCAGGCAGAGTTGTGGCCTGGTGCAGTCAGGCCACGAACTGTCACTGTCGAAGCTCAATTGTCAGTTTTAGTCGTTTAAGCATGTTTAAGTTCTGTATGCCTTACAGGCTCTAGGACTCCAGGAGCTGCAGCCGACTATGCATTCGGGAAACCTGGCCGGAACTGCAAAGGACAACCCGCAACGGAGATCATTTTCGATACTGGGCAGCGCTGTACAACCTGTCAAAGGCTGAGGCCACCAAGCCCGCCATGTGGGGCCGTGCAGTCCGGTATGGTTGGGTGTCACCACGAAGCAAGCTCGCGTCTTGACCACGACCTCTCCAACGCTTCACTTCAACCTGCTGACCCACTCGCTGCCAGCAGAGCGAGGTCCTTCCCGTTCTGCTGCATCTTGGGCCGTCCGTGCACATGACAACAGAAGCAGCGATAGACCTCTGCAGGTACTCTTCCGCAGCCGACATTGTCAACACATCTGTGTCAACTGAGCCCGACGAGGCGACCGCCACGATCAAGTAGCACCGGCGAACTCGGCATCGGCGTCTGCGTTGCCCGTTGTGGGATTGCCAGACTCCAGCCCTTGCAGCCACTCCTCAGCTCCAGCGGACTTCAACTCGCTTCCACCCTGTCCCACTGTTGTCAAACATGACAGGGGTAGAGCTGGTGCAAGCGACACAAGATGCTTCATAGAATCTGGCGGTGGGCGCATGTAACGTACCCAGCTTCATCGTTTTGACGGACCGATCAGTAGCAGCTGTTGCAGTCACTGCGCCTGCAATGATGGCAGTTGGCATGATGATGATGCTGGTGGTGGTGGTGATGATGAGTATGAGGAGGACAATGGTGATGATGGTGTTAGTCGTAGTCGTATCTAGTTGTGGTTTGTAGGAGCGGTGGTGCGGAGGAGCAGCAGCGGCTGTAGTAGCAATGGTAGGTGGAAACCAGACGGGAGCAGCAAAACCTCCTTGAGTTAAGCCTTCTCTTTGGCAGTTGCTTGGCCCGGTCATGCATCAGAGAATGCATAGCCGAGATGCGAGGGCCCCACGCTTGGACAGGAAGCGATTGTACTCTCGGCAATGTGGGTCGATGATGCAGGAGGGGCATCCGTGCTGACACGGGCAGTCCTCTACCTTGGAATGCCGCCAGGCAGCTTTCAGAAGTGATGCGCGCAGTAAGACTGTTGCGCTGTTGCGCGTCACGTAACCGGATAACGATGAACCGATCTTTCCAAACCGCCTCCCAGTGCTCTCGTGCGAAACGATCCCCATCGACTCGGCCAAGCGACCAGGCGCCGTGCCTCTCGGAGCATCGCGAAGCCGTGGCAGAAGGCCGCATCACACAGGCCAAGGCCCTGTGCTCCAAGACGCCCGGCTACGCTCACACCACTCAACTCAAAGGCTCGCCATTTCTAAGTCTACCTGACAGAAAATAAGATGTGGGGTCGGTCGATTTTTCCGTCCATGGAACTGAATGAAGTCTACAGAGTGCTCGGGCCTCATCCTTGGCATCGAAGATCATGAGGCGCGGGTGGTCCTGGAGTCTTCCAAGGTTTTTGGACTGAATCAAGCTGCAGTGGTACTGGCAGGAAAGCATAGCCAGACTGTTGCACAGGGACGTGCGTTGATTGCAAGCAAGCTTCCATTGGAGGCGTCTCGTGCTCATCCACACAAGCGGCATCAAGATCTCGCCGATCCGCCAAGACGAAAAGCGGAATTACATGAAGCAGTGCATGCATGGCAGCATGTGCCCCAGCCCACCCACAGCCCCATTGCCACTGCTCTCCGGACTGCGCCGATTCGCTCGAAGCTTCAGCCTCTCTTTTCAAAGCGGCAGGCCGGCGAGCGATGCCCACGGGATCTTCGAACCACAAGCCGCGCGTACAATAACCCCAGCTCGGCAGACTTAGCTCAACTTCAGGATCTTGCTGCACGTCTTGTGATTTCCAGAATCTCTTGAAGCTCTTCACCCGGCTCTCCATTTCCACTCTACCCAGGAAAAGCTTCGCCGGGCCAGAGGTTGCGTGTTTCTCGCGTGTGTGAATCCGGATCTCGGTATGATCAAAGGCCCGGGTGTAATAGGCCAAAGGTGTCTCACATTTCTTCACCGTCGCACGGCGACGTTTCAGATCAAGATTCGTGACAAAGTACTCGGAACCGCGGTAACCTGTCAGCGACGACGCAAAACGACCCGGCTACAAGGGCAGAGATGTGCAGCCGCATTGAGCCCTGGCGCGATAGACTGCGCCCGGATGCAGCGAGTAGAAGGCCTTCAAAAAACTCAATAAATCAGGCCAGTGGTGTGTCGTGGAAGACTGAGAAAGCCCAATTTAAGGCCTTAGAGATATCGATCTCGTCCAGCTTGCGGAAAGCTGTCACTGTGCCGGCCGCCAGCGAGCTTCGACTGCATTCCAACGATCACTCTAAGCAAAAATGCTCTTCATCACGCGCGGGCGTATAACGACAGAGGAGCGCCTTTGTTCCTGCAGGAAGCCGCCTTCTTCGTGGACCGGTGCCTGCACACACACTCTTGCACAACATGCGAATTGTGCACTAAGCAACTCGGTCAGAAATCTGCTGGACAGCCAACCGCATCTTGCAAGCAGGATATCGGCAGACATGCTGGCTTGCTGCCCGCATCGCTCACAAGCCGTAACGAGCACGATTGATCCGCACGTTGAGCTGGAGCCTCCTGCGATGCCACTTCTTCCACCACCTCGAAGTGGTCCTGTCCGCAGAATTCCGGTGCTCAGCAAGAGCCAGAGCTGGCAGATGCATCCTCCACGGCACGGATGGAAACGGCTCTGTGGGGTCCTGCCGCAATCAACTTCAACAGACCTAATGAGGACCTAATGTTCATGCTGGCGACATGGCATGTACCGACTGTGCCATCCTCCAGGACGTGTGGCCCAGCGGCGGGTTGGAACCAGGGCAAGACCACTGTCCTGCATCATCCATGGACACATACCGCGAGTTCCGGAGTCCTTCATGGCGGCAAGGAGGTGCAAGAAGCCGCCGTTCTCAAGCGGATATACAGCACCGAAAACAGCGCAAGTTGCTACCAATTACTGAATCACTATAGTGTAGCTCCCAGCTTTAATCGACCCATCAGCTTTGCAGGAAGGCTTCCCGAAGTTCGGGGCGGTTTTCGGTTTCACCGATGGGCAGATGATGCAGTCCCGGCCTCGCGCTGCTCTTCCAAATCTCCATCGGCAATACACTTCCTCAACTGGAATATGGGACGGTGGGATTCAACAAGCCTGGCATTTTATGGCATTTTCGAACCCCCGGACCCGCCATGATGGTGACATGTCACGACGGAGCCGCCATGGCATGAATATGGTGATGGACGAGTTGCCGCACTGCCGTTTGCCAGGCTGAATTCTCGTCGCCCTCGTGCCAGAACCTGCTAAAACCGGCTCCGGCTCAGAGCGTGCAGGGTCGTGTCCAGTCGTGTCGTTGCAGCTAACCATGGCAACAAGTCCGTGAACAGCGATCAGAGTCAACTACTGTGTTTACGGAGGTCTCCCAACTGCCGCTGACATTGATTGCCAGAGCCTGGAGCCTCTTACAGCCTGTTTCTCGCACATATACCCATCAACATCATCTCCTCCAATACTTGACCTTCAAAGCTCTTCTGCAAAAGCGTGCGGCCTGGCATCCTCGGCCTTGATCTTTCGCTCAGAAGCTATGCACGGCAAGTGGCCGCGAAGCACCTTAGGTCGCTGACATTGGGGTCGTCTCTGCGAATGGGGATTGGAAAGCCGGGCACCTTTTCAGTAGACACAAGTCACAAGGAGGCCTTGTCGAACTCAGTGAATCAGCCAACAAGGATAGCCAAGGAGCAGCTGGATTGCTGGGTGCAACGGCCACAGACTCGGGGCGTCGTGCCTCATGAGAAGCAAGTTTGAGGCACGTGCTTCCTCGGGTGAAACAGTGTTGCCGAGGGTTCGAGCTTGCATAGGGGATGCTGCTGTGAGCCATGCAGCAAAACCCAAGTCGGATCTGCGATCTGCTGACCGGTATGCTTCATTCCTCCTTTGAGAGATATGTGCTGTACTGTAGGACTTTGGCTGGCCTACTCAACTCCTCGCGACACTGAAATGCCACCATGGAGCCAAAAGCTCCCGCGGTCGGTTCATGAAGTGCTGGTCGACGGGGTCTTCAAAGCCAACCTGGCTTTCAAGAGAACGACGACACTACGAAGGTACCGGGGCAGATGCGGCCAAAACGCAAAGAATGAGATCCCCGGATGCCCTGCTCTCCCGGCCCGGCCAAATTGCTGACCTCTGAGGCAGCTCACGGAAGGTCGAAATATGTCATCAGCGACAAACTCACAAGGCTTCCGTTCAGCACAGCTGCGGAGAGATGCCACGCTGCCCGGAAATCCCAAAGAGATGGTGCAGTCCAAACCTTAGTGCCCGGTATCGAATTTGGGATTCCTCGGCGATGGTATACGGGTAGAAGACTCGAAAAGCACAGCAGAGCTTCGGCCGATGTCGATGCCAAGCTCGAGTGCGTTTGTACAGGCAACTCCAAGGACCTCAGTGAAAGAAGCGGTGCACGCCAAAGTCTGTGCCCAACCCGCGCAGGCCCAGATCTTCCCGTCCCTCTGCTACTTCAGTTCCTTCTCTCTAGACTCTCGACCCCTTCTGCTGCTGGCCCAAACGAGACAACGTGAGAAAGCTAACTGAACCGCACATTGGGACGTGCCTGGCGCGAGAAGATGTCTCGCTCCAACCTTTGCAGAAGGAGTGAAGCGAGCAAACACACCAGGAAAACGACTGGAACCATCCAGTTGCAGGCTGAAGAACTGGCGCCGCAGATGGGCAGGGTAGCCTTGAGTGAATCGCAAGCCGCTGAAAGCACAAACCAAGCTACCAACAGGGCCAGCTGAATGTCGGGCAATGCTTTCATGCTATCTCGGCTATTACGAAACAGAGCAAGAGAGATACGAAACAGAGAAGGATAGCAGATAGCCTCTCGGGAAGTATCTTTAGAGCAGACCAGCTGCCAGCGCGGTAGGAGACGACACGGGAACTCAGCTGAGGAGCCTCCCGTCTGCTGCGCGCGAACGATTAGACTAGACATACGATCCACATGTCAAACTAATGATCTCACACGCCATCCAATTCAGCAAACGCAGGATGGCTCTGCCGACTGCTGAACATTCAAGCAGCTGTGTTCGAGACCTTGACACGAACTAGGTGGAATGTTGAAGAAATCCTGCCTCACTTGCATTCAGGGCATCTTTGACATCCTGGAGAACGATTTCTACAAGACTCCTGGCCGGCAGCAGGTCGCGACTCGGAGAGATCAGCGATTCGGACGCCCAGTGCCGCTCCTCCATTTGCAGAAGGCCAAAACAGAAACGTCGCCTCAGCTATCGCTGGGCCGCTGTCACCATCAAGCCTCTGAAAGCAGGACACTCACTGAGCGTCCGACGAGAAACTAGCCACGCGAGCAAGCGTGTCACTTCTACAATAGGCGATGCCAGACTCTGGTTGTAGTTTCCCAACACCGTCTCCTGTCACGCATTGGCTGGTTGATCGCCACACATTGGTCTGGGTGAGATGTTGGCAGCACGTGCAGGAGTTTGAGCACTCTTTGCCCTCGAGATTGGAGCCACGATGACCTGTTTTGGACGAAGCTTGAGTCGGCAGTGGGACAAAAAACCAGGGCACGAGGAATCCGACATCTGCCGCACCACACGGGCTGCAGAGCGCAAAGCGAAACTTCGCAGCTTAGGGAGAGACCTTGCCAGCCTACGATGCGACGCCCCAACATCTGCTGTTTGGCTCTCGGCGAGGAAACCACTCAATCCCAAGCGTCATGTTACGACATCTTGCAACCAAAAGCCGATACTAGTAGCGCAGGGTGATTCGACCGCCAAGGTCAATGACTGCTGGTAGCATCGAGTCATGCTGCAATTGGGCTTGGAGCATCTGTCAGAATCAGAAGCTCGGTCCTCTCCGTCTCCAATCTGCACAGCGTCCAATGATGCCGTCGTCTGGCCATATTGGGGCAGAGAGCTTTAAGCATGCACGCACTCCGCAAGCCTCGGTGCGCATCCGCTTGGACGCTGGAGGTGAGGACTCCGCCTCCTTCACCGCAAAATAACAGACAAGCGGTACCATGCCGGACATCAGGTAAGCTTGACTTACCCAGTCGCGCAGCTGTCCTGGTGCTTGGCAACTGCAGGTCCTTGATCCAAAAAAGGTTTGGGGCACGTTTGGGCACTAACAGAGCATCTAACAGAATCAGAGTTGAACTCGAGCCTTTGACCAAGGATGCCGGATTCCATAGAACGTAGACCTTGGAGCAACTTCAGTCAGGGAAGCCGCGCATGATCCAGTGCATTGCATCCCTCACGGCATCCGACCTACTTACCTCATCGTTGCTTCAGCCTCTGGCTCCAGACACGAGCTTGGAATAGCTTCCAGTATTCTTGATGGACCCTTGTACTACACTTTCTGTACTTTACAGCACTACAGAGGTACTAATCGGCAAGGCGATGCACGACAGCGGCCAGAGTTCATCTCCCGATGGCGCAAAAGTCAAGCTGCATGACCACCGCTAGGCGATGCATCTCGTGCAACGACTGCCACATCGTTTCGGCCGGGGCCAAAGAGGCGCTGTGCATGCCTGCATCGTACTGTGACACTTTGACGACACGGCAAAGGCAGCTTGTTGACAAATGCTCGAGGGCGTTAAAAGGCCAGGGCACTCTCCTGGATTGGCCACCGTTGCAGAGCAAGCCACGAAACGCAGGGAGGCCTCGTCAACGAGACGACGGAGCCTGATCCAAGCGATGCGGAAATACGGAGCTTATGGAGTGGAAGCAACGAAAACCCACGTGGATAGCTCTCCATGCCCCGGCCTCCGAATGATGCTGCAAACATGAGCTCCGAAGGCTCCGCGATAGATGTGGACCTGCAAGCTTTGGGTCAGCATGGGGGGACTGGAGCCGTTCCCATGCAAAAGTCCTCGTCCAGCACGATGTAGCGGGCATTCTGCAGCAGCCGAGCGTACTCCACGTGCTGGGGAAGAACATGACTGTGCAGCATGTCCTCGGCCACGTTTATACACAACTGCCATCCCATGCGGCCCATGAACACTTCAATGTGCCGGAAAGAAGCCGGGTTGGTCAGCACGACCCGGGCCTCGCCTCGCAGAGCATCCTTTTTGAACATGATGCCTTCCCTTACAGCGCTGGAGAGCGATGCAAACTACCGTGCCACCGAGCAACGTCGAACGCGGTTTCGTTCAGCGCTGGGAGTATCACCATCCAGACAAGCTATCGTGAGCCTCCGGTTGTGCCAGTGTGCCAGTGTCTGACTTTCAATCAGCTCTCACGGTCCTTCTACATTCCTCGCCTCTCCGGTGCAACTCCACGCTGGGAAAGCCCTTGAGCCACGCTGCTCAAAGAGCGAAGCTGGTCCTCTCGGAAGCTGCTCCACGTGCGGTTTTGCCAGGGTGGACTGTAGATGTGTACTGTGCGGCAAAACACCGAGAAAAGCCTACCGGCGGCTGTTGCAAGGCTCTCATTGGGCCGTTACTTAGATTACGCCTGTTTAACCAGTTCGGATGCTCAGTGTGTGGACGAGTTGAACAAAGCAAGGTGCTAGGACTGCTAGGACATGGCCATTGAACAAAGCAGAATTAACGACAGGAATCCTGAATGTCAGTGCCCTAGAAGTAGTACAGCTAATACAACAAGGCATGATGCAGGCACATGTGGAGCTTGTGCTGTGGCGAGTCCTGTGCCAGAGCCTTGGTCGGAAAGATCAGGAAGGCTGTGGCGTTCTCCTCCCGAAGCAGGGCCTCAAAAATGGCCACCACGTAGACCAAAGATTTTCCGCTCCCGGTAGATGTGCTGATCACCACATCTTTGTTCTGGATCATGATGGCATCAATGGCATCTGCCTGATGGCTGTACAGCTTCAAGCCATCAGAGGCCGCATCTTGCAAGACTCCGCGCAGCACCTCCTTCAAAAGAGGGTGTAGCTGTGCCTTTGGGTAGGCGAAACTCGCGGCTCGCGATCCCAATTGTGCCACATGCACTGCCTGGCCCACATACCAAGGCTCCGCCTTGAGGCTCTCGAGAAGATTCATGCCGTCCAGCTGTGGCTTTGCGGTGCCTGCGGTGCCTGGGAGTCTGTCCACAGCAACGGCCGCGCGAGCAGGTGGTACGTTGTCGCCTCTGTGCAGAAAAAGGAGTTCCATCTTCAGATCTGGACTTTGCCCCGAACCTTGCAGTTGCGCCGCCCGGGGAAGGTTTTGGATTTCCTCGGATGCTGGCAAAGCTCGACGCCCGCTGGAACACTCAGCGAATGGGTGCTTTTGCCATTGCTGTTTGGCATCTCCCTCCCGGGGAGGCAGTTCGCAAAGTGGTAGCATTGATCCAGGGCCACAACCGCCATCCAAAACCTCCAGCAGCCTTCCAAAAGAACGGGCTCAGAAAGGCCTGTGGTTGGTATGCTGTATACTGTGGTACATGCACTCATCATGACCAGAAGCAACGAGCTTTCACTTCGAACTCACGAGTTTGATTCAACTGTTGGAAGCGCGTCATGTACCATGTACACTCATGTAGCAGTCACCAAGCCTGCGGCGGCACTGGAGCTCACAGCGGACAATGTCTGAGGGTCGAATGCGGCCTCGCTTCCCGCGCCTGCCTTCGGAAAGAGTCTAACAATAAGGACTGCTTGGGTTCCGCATAACAAGCTAAGGGCGCCTTTGTAGCGCACACACAGGAGAGGCTGCTCCTGCGCATGAGACTCCAAGCGTACTGCGCAGAAAATCGCTTTCCAAAACATAATCTCCATGGAACATCCATCAAAAATACGTGAGTCGCGACTTCAGAAGTCCCGAAGCAGGGGAACACAAAGCTTCGACACCACGATGTTCCCCATCCTTCTTCCGCAAGCACCGCAGCCCGCATGGGTCATCGTCAGCTGGATCCAACGACGATTGCCAGAACAGTTCGAAGCCTCGGATGGCACTCCTCTGCTGCATACACCACGAAGTTGACTGCATGCGCGGAAGATACACAACATGGCAAGGATGCTTGCGCAGGGCCATTGTGCAGGGAAACCACATGCCCGCATTGTAAACGGAAGCTCGGAACAATTTCGATTCCACGATCGGCAGTCGGGCATGCGAAGATGCTGAAGAAAGGACTGCGGCACTTGAGGCTGCTATCGGTCTGTGACAGAGTATGGAAAGACTCTTGGCAGAAGTAAAAAAAACCTCTGCTATGTGCTATCACCTGGCACCTAACAGGGTTCAATCAAGGCATGTGACATGGGAGAATGAATTGACCCAGCTGAGAGCGAAAGGCCCAAGCTTGTACAAATGGCCCAGTAGCTGTCCCTCGCAACATGGAGTAGCTGGCGGTAACGAGTCTCGATGTCATCTGCCAGTCCACGTTGGCAGTCCCCCACCTGGCATGCTGCACCATCTGCTGTAATCCTGACTTCCATGCACAATTCAGTGCACGCAATAGGACATTTTATATGTTGGAATACAGCACTGAGGTCCAGGCTGGCAGACTTGTCGTCGCATGCCCTAAAGGCAGAGCCAAAACAACGAAGGCTCCCAGAGGCCCCAGTCGCCTCAAGGCGAGGCGCGAGGCCGCAGCAGCATGCTGCAACTGTACAGGGGCGGGCCCTCAGGAGGCCAGAGACGTCCCGCAGGTCACGTTCGTCACGTGTGCTAGGACAATTCATGCATCAGCTTCTCAGAGATCCAGGCTGCTGTTCTGATCACACAGGCTGTCACTCAGCCACGCCGGCGGACTGATGCTCTTGTTCGGGCTTCTGCTCACAGCATGGAAGTACTGGAGCCCCTGGTCCAGTTGTCGGCCAGTGATCTGGCAGCCCAAGAGCATCTGCCGCATGAGCAAAGGGACCGCCTGCAAGTCGTGCAACTCTTCGGATCCGCCCTCGTCCATGCAGAGCTGGTGCTCGTAAGGCCTCATCCAGCGGAGGAAGGCCTTTAACAAGCGCCTGATTCGGCTGGCGCCCGAGGATGACACAGGGCGCATGTGTACACCATCCAGCATGAGGTTCTGATGGAGTACTTCTTGAAGCTCATGCTGGACGAGAGCTGCAACAGCATTTGCTGCAAGCAGCAGAGCACAAGGATATTGCTGAGAGGAGACTTCACTTGCTGCACAGGCGACGGAGTCCGCAACTGGTATGGATCCCAGTTAGCTGCTGCCGCCTTCGGCGACCTGAGAATTTCAGCCATGGCTCTGGAGCTCAGGCGTCAGCATCTGCGGCGAGGTGTCCATGGCTGCTTCCACTTGCCGTGCTCTCTTCCTCGGAGGCGTCTGCAAGACGTCGGCTGGCACGGTCTCCGAGGGAGATGCCGAGCTGTGAAAGCACCCCGGCTTTTGTCAAGGCAATCTCCACGAGCTCCTCTTGCCCCACTGCCGACACGGAGGAGGCTCCGCCAGGGCCGCTGGAGAGTCCGGGTCTAGCTGCGTGGCTGCCGGGCAGCCCCTGCAGGACCCATCGTCTGGCCGAGGCACAAACACGGCGGATCATCTCTCGAGAAGCAACAAGGCAAAATGTAGCGAAAGCAGATCCAGAGTGTGGCTGGCATGGACTGCTGCGAGCATTCCACAAGTGAGTGAAACTTAGCGCAACCTAACAGAAAGTGCAAGCTGCAAAAACGAACGCCTGCGAAAGCTGCCACATGCGTTCTGCAGTGCGAGCTGCCAGGGGCATGCTGCGCTCGCACAGGAAATAGGTTGAGGCCTTACTCCAACGAGGTGTCAGTGGCAAAAATGAGCTGCCGGAGAGCCGAGGCACAAATTTGCGCAGCTGTTCCGCGCAGGCCTCAAATTCCGAGGGGAGCTGGAGGATGCTGTATGGACCTGGGTCTCAGGTAATGGAGACGAAACCAGTTTCCCTCAGCACGATGAACACATCATCGAACGGAAAGAGCAGGAAGTGCTGCAAACCACTTCAACGTTGAGTCACGGCGAGGTGGGGGTGGTGCTTCCGGGGCCTCATCACTGTCCAGGTCGATGGGCGCATGGCTCGGATTCAGCTTGGCGAAGGCGTGCGGTGGCGGTGTCTCTTCCGGGAGGAAACCGCCCAGCTCCAAAAGCCCCGGCTCTGCAGGATGTCTTGAAGGCACTCTCTCTGCCGCGGCCGCGAGATTGGGGGCCTTCAAAGAGAGGCACAAGAGAGGGGATCATGAGTCAACTCAATCCTGGCATGGTGCGTACAGTGCGGAAGTTCTGGACATGCTAGCCAACTGTTTGTCGAGTTGCATTAACTTCCAGCTTGATCGACTGCGTGCTGATGGCTTCGGTGGGATCTCTTTTCAGGTCAACCTGCATTGGCGAAGCCTGCGGCCGCTTCGTTGGCCGAGTTTCGGAGCTCTCCGATTCTTCGACAGCTGCCGTCACACCGGTTCTGGAGTCGGCCGAGGACATTGCCTGCTGGACCTGTGCGCTAAGCAAGGCCTCAGCTTGCCGCGCATGTCTCGACTTTCCACGTCCCTTGCCTTGCCATGGGCGCTCTTTGGGGGCGGGTCGGGGAGTGCCAGCGTGCTGGCGGCTGCGGCATGCCGGGCAGAACCATCGTCCACTGGGAACTGTCCGGCCCAAGCCATCGCAGAAGGTATGGCATGCGCCAGGGCATCGCCCTCGCCATCCATCACAGAGAAGCAATAGTTCCGCCTGACCCGCTCCACCGCACACATCGCACGTGATCTCAGACTCACCACTGGAGTCGCCGACCTGCAGGGAGGGAACGAAGGAGATGGAGATGCTCATGCTGCCTATTGCTGCCTTAAGTACGATGAAGTATGTTGATCCTTCTGAAGCAGTTCTGAGCAGTACAGCCCTGTAGCCCGACGGACCTGATCGCGGTGCTGCACTTCACATATTCTCCTCCCAAGCAGGGACGGCACAAGGGCAACAAGACGGCCCCTACGGTTGTCAGAACTGACGGTGCAACAGTGCGTGACGCCGCCGATCCTTCGCTGACCGGACACAAGGCTGTACTCGCCGAAGCGGCGGAACCGTAAGCGGCACTGTGGACAAGAGTTCTCCACCCCAGCCCAAACTTGGATGCACCGCAAGTGGAAGAGATGCAGGCAGCCTCCCACGTGACAAACGAATCGACAGGCCATGCACCCAAACCAGTTCCCTGCCGACCCTCGAGGGCTGCTGCTACCTTTGCTCGCAACCGCAAGCGTTCGGAGCAGCGGCTTGCCACGGACGCAGAGGCCTCCCATGGCGGTTCTGACTCCTTCTGCAGACTCCTAAGGTGTTGTCGCAGCACAGACTAAGGTCTGCCAGCTCGCCTCCGCCACTCCGTCGACCGCAGCATCATTGAGCTGCAGCAAACATGCGCCACAGCAAGCCTCAAAGGGTACTCGTCATTCGAGGGCGGTTGGGGGTCCGAGTCTCCACCGCATTTGCAGGTGACCATTTTCACTGCCCATGGCCTCGGCATCTAGGATACTTGGCAGCTCGGCAGGCAGCGATGTGTCCATCCATCAGCTCGGATTGCCACTGCGATGCTGTTGCATTATGGTGCGTCCTGTGTGCACTTCCTTCGGATTTCTGGGGCATTGCCGGATCATGATTAGCTACATGCGTGTTATCGGAACCCTTTTAGGACGGCCGTCCAGGAGTGCTTGCTACATGAGGTCAAAGAGATGCTCGCAAGCGAGGCGTCAGCTGCTCCCCGTCATGATGCTGTGACTGCGCAGGCTTGCCAGCCTCGACAATGCCATCCTCCCGAGTAACAATGTCCTTCGAAGGCGGACAAAAAACACTTGCAACAAAAGGGAAAAATCGCAGCGAAGCGAAGCTTTGGGCTTTTGCAGCTTTGGGGCACCTCCACCTCGGCATCGGCCTCCATCGAGGCCTCGGCTCCGGCTCGGCTTCGGCTCCCGTGCCCCTTTCACGAGCTGTAGCCCCAGCTGAGGGCAACTCCTCAAGCACCTTCTCCTCGTCGGATTCCTCAAACTCCAGCACACCTCCCAGCATTGTCTGGAGGAGCAGCGATCAAGCCAGCAGACTAGACCGTGGTAGACCGTACTACGAGCAGTGTTCGATATGGGGATGTCACAATGGCACCGAAGCCTTTCACAGCCACATACATTCATGCTCGCATCCACGTCGATCTGAGTCCGAAACCCACTTTCTGGAAAATGTGGTCGCCCACTTTTGACACCTTTGCAGGGGCCAGGATGGCTGCGCGCCCCGCCCCAGGCTATGCGCCCCTGGGCCGGGGAACCTGGAGAGGGCTTCGCCGGGCTAGGGACTCAGATGCCGTCTTGCCTTCTGGCCACACTAGAATCAGCGACCACTTTATGGCGAGATCTACGCGATGAGCTTCAGCAAGCTGGCAGCTTGTTGTGCGGCTCATTCGCCCTGAAAACTCGCGATCTGTTTTCATGTCCTTGCGCGGTCTCGGCCTATAACCAGACGAGTGTCGATGGGGGTACCCTGGTGAAGCAGCAATGATGCTCGCCGCTCACATAGTCTTCGAGTTCTGAGTGACGGGTAGCCCGAGACGAACACTCAATCTGCATCCGGGTGCACATCATCAACCAAGCAGTCGAACATGATCGAAAAAGCATTTACAGCCTGTATGACGAGTCCACTCGTCGCTTGCGTTGCCTTGTTTACATGGGAAACATGCAGGCTGGAACGAAATGCTTCAGTCGGAATGCACGCCTGCCCAGTCAGCGACAGACAGTTGTTAAAACTTTTATGGGGTGAAACATCAGCCTCACGTGAGGGCCAGCCAGCTTACAACACTTTACAACTCGACATGTAGAACTGCTGTCGCGAAAGGTTCTCGGCACAGCCAAAACTGATTCTGCTGCAGTGAAAACTGCATCTGCACAAGCTCACACATCGACAGCCTGGTCCAATTTTTTGACGCACCGTCTCTGCTTGGCCTGCGGCAGTATGTGGCTCAGGGTCTCGCCTCAGCCAGCCACAGGTCAAATTCACGTGTCCCAATGCCTGACCGGAACCTGGCAAGCTGTTGTCTGCCAACACACTTGTCATCCCAAACAGACTCCAGTCCCACCGACAGACAGAACGTGTCCAAGGCAGCACAGCGTCGAAGCGCTTCCAGCGGCAAAGCCCATGGTCCGCGCACAGCCCGTGTCAGGCCCTTGCAACTTGCAATCTTCCGCACTGCAAATCTATGAGACAAGAACAGCATCCTATTCGAGGAGACTGTGCTGTTCAAGCTTGGCAAGCTTCTCGGCCGCCTTTGCAAAGCCCTGGTACACAATGTCGGGGGACACTGCCACCTGACATCGTGAAAGGCTAAGCGCGGAATCCATGTGCAGGAGGTGCCTGTAGAAAGGAGCAACTGTCCAGCTGTCGTCCGATGGCAGTGAGACAACGGAGGGAGAGGGAGGGAGAGAGAGAGAGAGAAGAAAAAAAAGGAACAAAGAGATAGAGAGAGCGAGAGTTTAGGAAGGGGTCGCACCGCCAAAGGCAGGAGACACATGCCTGCATGTGTTCTGGCAGGAGGAGCAGCAACCTCAGATAATGAGCCCAGAAGGTGAGTGCTCAACATTTCTCAACCCAAAAATGCACCCTGCGAGCATGACAGGCCTGAAAGCATGCTCGGAAAACAATGGCATCACGAGTTAACCACGCGCTGCTATCTACGAGCATGTTGGATCAGAACTTGTCCTAGGTCCTAAGCCGTCACACCACTGCATGGCCAGGACATGCGCGAGGCGCATGGGGTCTCCCGCCCTCCAGCTTGTGTGTCAAACGGACAAGTGCACCAAGTGTAAAACACCGGAGACTTGCAGGCAATCTCCCCTTCATGTTGGTACTTGGGCTGCATGTATTGATGTCACAGCTCTGCTGACCTGTTACCACCCCTCCAGGCGACAGATGCTCTGAGACAGAACCATCTAGGAATGGTCGATCGAGCGGCAGCACCCAAAGTTCGCCACAGGACCAAGGCGTCAGGTCCTCGCTGCCATCCTCAGTAGGATCAATCAACGACAACATACGCCAGGACTTCCACACACTTCCAATGCCAGTGCCCACTGGCGCCTATACAAGCGGAAAATAAACAGCATCGACCGAGCCCTGATCTCGAATGATAAAATACAACTTCCGAGTGGCGATATGGGTTGTACCGTTTCGACCATTGCTGCGTGGCACCTGCTGGCAGACATCTCAGGCAGGAGAGCAGGATGGATACCATCCGAAACGCTCTGCGAGCATCTTCGTACAAATTCTCACGGAGTGCAGGATTGCCCTGACGCCCGCGACTTCTGATTTCAACATCGAGGGCGGCACCCTTGCAGGGACGAGAGTCTTTTCAAAACTGTATGTCCTGAGCCACCTCCAGAGGTTGCATGATCCCACGTGCGCCGATTGAGTGTAACATGCCGGTCGGCGCACATCTACATCAGTCTTGGTTTTAGGGTTTAGGGTTT